GAGCTGATGGGAGTTCTAGTCAGAAGACCTGTATCTGGGTCCTGGTCCCACCCTTTGCAAGCTGTGCAACCCTGGGCACATTACGTAAAACTCTTGGAGGGGCTGACCCAGTGGCGTAGCAGTTAAGTTTGTACACTCCGCTTCAGCGGCCTGGGGTTCACCAGTTCGGATCCTGGGCACAGACCTACATACTGCTCATCAAGGCATGCCGTGGCAGCGTCCCATATAGAAGAAGTAGAAGGACTTAAAACTAGGAGATACAACTATGTTCTGAGGCTTTGGGGAGAAAAAAGAGGAAGACTGGCAACAGATGTTAGCTCAGGGCCAATCTTCAAAAAAAAAAATAAAAAGAAAAACACCCAACAAAACCCCTCATCTTAAAAAAAAAATCTTGGAGACATGGAATTGGTTGTCAACATACTTGTGTGGGGATATCATGAGCTAAGTGTGCAAGAATTTTGTAAATCTGAAGACACAAACAGAGCATTATTACCAGTTAGAAGCTGCCACAATCCATAAGGCCTCTCTTTCCATTCCGGAAACACCAGTACGTGGATGTGGAGAACACAAGGTCTCTCTCTCTGACCCAGTATTTGGCCAGCCAGATGACGTTCCTTGTCTGGGGTCACAAAGGTCTACTTTCCTTTGAGGAACAAACAGCTGGTGTGGGTGTGCTCCGTGCCTCAGACCTACCTTGTTCAACTTTTCCAACACGGACCCAGTTTCTCTGAGAGCCGATCTACAACCGTCAACAATAATTTTGACCTAACACTAGGTTTAAGCTTTGAAAATAAACAAGGAGTAACTGGGAAGGGGAGTAGAAGATGATATTGAAGACTCTAGTGCTTTTCACTTTCTCAGAAACAGCCAAATGTGTTCAGTCCTCCAAAAGCGTGGCTGATGGCCCTTGCCACTTCTGCGTTCCTGACCCTGGCTGCTGCTGAGCCCGTTGCTTCTGCAGGGGTCTGAGCACTGGTCAAGGAGAAGCTCTGTATGAGGATTAAGAGATTTGGGTCCCACCGATGATTTCTTACTATTTACGAGCAGACGCGTCTCCTCCTATGACAGCCCTTCCAAAACAAAAAAGCTCCGAGGTCTGAAACAGTGTGAAGACCCCTGAAGAAGTAAAGAATTCTAAAGTTCCCTTCAACTGCAAGATTCGAGAACTGTGGTAGCTACATTTTTATTTCTAGGGAAATTCACTTATTATACGTAAGTAAAAACTAGACCTCTATTTCTTTTTTTTTAAAGTGACAATAGTCTTCCCAATAAATCTGATGAATTATTTTGCTTTGGTAAATAAACTTAGAGGTATCAGATTTAAGTAGGAGAGCTGAATACAGCTTCTAATTCAAACTTTTAAATTCAAAAATTTGATTTGAATGATCAAGAACCCTAAATAATGGCCTGTGTGCAGCAATCAAATCATCTGTGGAAAGTAAAAAAATGAAGTTGTATGTATTTTATAACACAGATCAAAAAGTCTAGCAATTGATGTTTACAGGTATGAGCACGAAGCCCAAATGTCCTCAGGGTCTCATGGTTGATTATTTTTATAAGTGGATCTCTAATACTAGCCACAGTCTTTAAACATCCTGACATCTGCTAATTAAACCTGGAATTATTAATCATTACATCAACGTGTTTCCCAAAATCTGAAAACTGAGACCTCAGAGATCATTTAGTTCCAACTCGTGTGTGGATCAGGAAGCTCAGGCACAGAGCAGCTGGGGATACACCACATGTGCACACGTGCACGCACACCCACACTCATGTGCACACTGGAGATGTTTGTATCCCATGACCCCAGCCTCCCCAGCGCCAGCACCCCCTGTGACAGCACGGCAGGAGGCATGAGGACAGAGCCATATAGGATGCAAAGTAGTAATGTCCCTAATGAGCTGGGACAAAGGTATCGCCTCACCACCCATAAGGAGGTGAAACTCGGGGGACCTGCCATCCTCATGGGACTGTCGGGCGCCTCATGTGTAGGGCTGACTGTTTTAAATCTGACTGCCAAGAACTGGGCTACTCTTCAACAAAGCAGACAGATGTTTTCCAAATATCTGTCTTTAATTAATTATACTACCAAAGCATTCACCTTTCTTATTAGTGCCGAAATGTATGAGAGGACAGACTGGGAGGGAAGGAACAACCTGGAGAACGGTGAGTGACAGGGAGACCAGGAGGGGAGAGAGGAGAGATGGCAGTGCATTGGCTCCTGCGGGTCCAACACAGCAAAGGGGACCTAAGCGTCAATACTCCAGAGTTAAGTTTAACACTGAAAACGACCTCAGTCCTCGAGAGGGATGTGAAAATTAAAGTTTCAATATTTCTATACTACTAGAAGGTGTGTGTAGATACACACACGTACACCCTACTACTAATAAATATATAATACTACTTTGCAATTACTGAGGGTCTATATTCCAGGAACTTTGCTAGACACTTTATGAATAAAATTACTTGTTCTGGACACTCCCAACAACACTTCAAGGTTATTATTCAATCCTGTATAAGGAAACACGCTCCCATAGGTAGTGGTTTGTCCAAAGTACACAGCAGAATCAAGACCGAACCCGGTATGTTTAATGAAAAAGCCCACACTCTTTCCTCCACGTTATGCTTCCTATTAGCTGGAAATAATTAAAATGTTATGGAGGGAAATCTCCCGACTTACGATAATCGTTTGCTTCTTATACTGGTTTTTGTATTTACGTCAAACATAATCTCAGTAAAATGAACTTTTATTAAGTCGATGATTCAGAATTGTCAATTCCTGAGCTACAGATAAAACGAAAACTGGAAATTAAGTAGCATCGCTAAACCAACTGCTTCCCATTGTCCTCTCAGGATCAGAATGTTACCAGTGGTCACCGGGCATTTAAAGCTTGCCTTAATATAGCAGGAGCAAAAGTCCTACTGCTCCCTCAGTGGCCAATCTGGTTAAGAGAGCCGAAAATACTAAGTGGACAGATGCATTTACCCAATTATTTCAGGCGAACAGACCCAGCCTTGGTATCCCAAACACTGAAACAACGCCATTCTTCTCTGGAAGCAAGCGTCTATGGACAAGTTTCTAACTGAAGTTTGCTAAGAACATTCTGTTTTCATGAGAGTTTGCAGAAGATGCTCACTGTTCTTCTCATTGCTGGAATCCAAGAACCCCGCCCTGGCTCCTTGCAGTGGGCGCCGGACCCGTTCTCATCTGTCCTGTGTGGTCAGTGGGAGTGCCCCAACCCTGACCTAACTCAGCCCACAATTATCCCCTCACATTCACGCCTCGATGATCTCAGACCAGGGGATAAATCTTCTTAAACACAGTTGGATTTCCCCCTCCTACACCCTGCCCTTTTCTTATGTCTCCTGATGCCGCCCATGGCCATCCTCTCCCTTCCCCAAGAGTGCCTGGCAGCAGCCATCTTTGATGTTATGAGAGACTTGGAAGATGGGGAGAGGTGACACAGAAGGGACTAAGCTGGCTCTTGGAAAACACCTTGAGAAGGTGTCTGAGGGGAGGAGACTTCCCCCATGGTCCATAGTTACCCCTTACAGAAGGCTCCCTATGTGTCAGGCATCACACCAGATCCATCTCATTCATTAGTTCATTTAATCCCTTCCAGGCTCCTATAAGGAGGGCTCTATAATTAACTCTAATTTTACTCATGAAGAACCAAGGCTAAGAGAGGTTAAATGACTCGCCCGAGGTGGAGTCAAGACTTTGCCTGACTCCAAAGAACATGTTCGTCCCACACTCCACGACCTAAAATTACAGAGTGTGAATAAGGTTGGTGCCCTCTTACTAGTCTAAAATCTTCCTCCAAGTTTTGCCTATTAAAGACCCAAATTATTCTTAGGGAAGATGTGTGAATATTTTATTCTAAAACAGAAGACCTGGAGGCTATCTTCCCAACCACAGCATGCATTCCATACTCCTTCAGAAAGCTTCATTTTTTTCTGTGCAGAGGTGCCAAGAATCCTCAGGCGCTGGTGGATACCAGTAGTATTCCAAACTGTAGGAAACATTTTAAATTAAGAACTCTAGAGAGTATACATTTGAATTTAAACAGGTACCACAAGTTTTACTAGAGGTACTTTAATGAAATGCAACTTGGTTTTTAAAAGATAGTTGAACATAATATTTGTTACAGCGTTGCTTGTCAGAGTGGGCAGTTTCTGGCAACATAAGTGTCCATCACTAAGGGAATGGTAAATAAAATGGGGTACGTGCATAGTTTGGAATACTGTGCAGCCGTGAGAATCAATGGCCCAGGTGTGCAGATGGCAGCATGGATAAATCTTAAAACAGTCTTGAGTGGCAAAAAATAAAAATAAAATAACTGTATAAAAAGGCAAAATATTAACATATTAAATATAATTAGAAATAAAAGAAAATGAGGCATAATGCCATTCATGTAAACTGAAAAATATAGAGAACACCACTACACATTTCCACTTATGCAGAATCAAGGACATACATCGACGTCTGTTAGCGAGCGCTTGTAGAGGGGAAGGGAACAGGCCTGGGGAAGGAGATCAAGTAGAAAGAGAGAAAAGAAGAGAGGGGCCTTGCACTGATGGTTGCATATAAAGGCCAGGATCTGAGGAATGTGATTACTTCAAGCTTCTACACTGAAGGGTTGAGAAAATGAGAGGAAGGAGAGAAGGAAGGGAGAAAGACAGAAGTACACAGACAGAGGATGGACGCAAGTTATGAATGCAGCTCAGAGCTTCGTCTCCCAACATTCATCCTTATCTTTGAGTTCTACTTTTATTTTAAGGTGGTATAACCCACATTCACAAGTTTGGGGGACCTCTTGAATGCGTGAATGTGCACAGTCATCTCCCAGCCCCAAGCTCTGCAGAACCATGCCTGGATGAGAAGCCCAGTTTGCAGGTTTGAACACTAACACAAACTGAAAACGGTGATTGCTGGCATTAGAATTGAACCCCTGGATTGATTCCTATAAAAATGCTCCATTTTCTTTTTATAAACACAGGGACTTGCCAAGTAGAAACACCGCAGAACACACGAGACTGAGGATATGAACAGAAGAGAGGTGAGCCCATGACTGGATGTGATTAGAAGTTGGAGTTTCCTCCTTCCTCTCCCCCTCTCCTCCCCTCCCCTCTGCACCCAGCGGATCCCAGGGGTGGCAGTGATTGCAAATCTCCTTCTCCAGGAGTCCAGCCTCACAGAGTCCTGTCTCTTAACCTCAGGCTGGTTGGGGAGGCACGGTGGTGGTTGGGGAAAAAGCCACTGAGAGCCAGGAGTGGTGAATGAACTCCTAAACAAACTCTCCACTGACACATCACTAAAAATAAGTATGCTTACACGCATAACACATTTTTGGAACAGTAACTGAACTCTCTCTTTTATCCTCTCTAGAGACTTAATGTTTCATATTCAGCTTTATAGAAAACAAAATGCAAGCAGCATCAACTTCCAGCAACGCAGGTAGGAAGTTTTTCTCTGTGTGCTAAATGCACACTTGCCAAGAAGTTAAGAAACTGCAGAGAGCGGACGGCACCGTCTATCAGCTGCTCGTCCGTATGCCGGTCAAACGCTGATAAGGCTCACTGGGCATTGCCTTATTTAGTCAGATTCCGCGGCTGAAACACGGTGCACGGTGACAACTGCGCATGCTGTTACCAGCCTCTCTCCCTTCAGTCATTGGTGCTGACACACCAATTAAAAAAAGTGTCTCCGTTATTTAAACAGCCTCCTGCCTTTCCTAACAGCGACTTTCCTACAAAGAAGAATGATAATATTACAAGTAAACCTGAATATGTTTATTTGGCAAAGAATTCCCATGAGGAATACTGAAAATTAAATTCCGTTCTTAAGGCTTTTTTCACCCCCAACACTGAACCAATCATGATGTTGGATATTATTACTCTATTGGTTTGGCTAAAGTGTATATTTTTTTCAGAAACTAGTATTATTACTATTTCTAACTGTATTAGTTTTAAAAAAACAGGCATTAGAGTAATGCACAGAGCCTTATATCAGAAATCAATAATTTGATCTAGACCTGATTCTGCTCGTAACTGTACCAATAAATACGAATCTCACGTATCTCTATATACACACGTACAAACACACGTGTGTGGACATAAACCATTATACGTATTTAAGTTATCTTCTACAAGTCTAGCATACGAGCCAGTTTTAATTGCTCATAGAATGACGAAGCTCTTTGTGTACTGATAGGGAATGAATTTCAATACATATCATTAATTAAAAAAAACAATAAACACAGTGTACAGAATAGTGCACATTCCAGGCTACAATCCTTGATCTGCAATTCTGAGATCTAAAAAGCTTTAAAATCTGAAATTTTCTTTTTATGAGCTTAGTACCAAAACTCATTTGACAGTAACACCTGAATGCAACTGACATGAGGCTATTTATGGTTCTTATTTCTCCCACGTGGTGTGAATGTTCAGTTTCCCTGGAGAATTAACCTGTTTGATTACTCCGTGCTGCTCAGACCCCCTGGGGGTATCACATAACTTATGTTATATGCACCATATTGCATTTCAAAATCCAATAAATTCTGAACTCTAAAACATATCTGGACCCAAAAGGTTTTTGAAAGCAATTATGGACTTGTGGTATGTAACCATCTGTGTCAAAGGGGATAAAATGTATATCTGTATGTATAAATACCCGAAAAATTTCATGAAGATACTAACAACACTGGTTGTCTTCCGGGAGAGGAAACGGTTAGCTGGAATCAGGGGTGGGAGGGAGGTTTATCACTCACTCTATACCATTTTGTAACTTTAAAATTCTGAACCATTAACATGTATCATCTATTTAAAATATGAAGAAAATTAAAATTAAAAAAATCACCGATTGTAAGCATATGACAAGCGACTGATCTATTTACAATGCATCCTGTTAACAAGCCTTCAGGAGGCAACATTTCACACCCACTGTCAGTGGATCCCTTTGACCAGCTTTCCTTAGTCACCATGAACTCCTGTTTCTCTGGACTCTCATTTTAAGCGTGCCCTGCTCTTTCCAATGCTGCTGTCTCTTCCTCCAAAACACTGTCTAAAGTTCAATTCTTCTTTTATCTTTTTGAGGAAGATTGGCCCTGAGCTAACATCTGTTGCAAATATTCCTTTTTTTTTTCCCCCTTTCTCTCTAAAGCCCCAGTATATAGTTGTATATCCTAGTTGCAAGTCATTCCAGCTCTTCTATGTGGGACACCGCCACAGCAAGGCTTGATGAGTAAGCAGTGTGTAGGTCTGCGGCCGGGATCCAAACTGGTGTCCCCCAGCTGCTGAAGCTGAGTGTGCGAACTTAACCATTCGGCCATGGGGCCAGCCCCCTATGGTTCATTTCTTAAATGAAGCTTCTGTCTCCCTAACTCACCTGTGCTTACTTCAATTATGTCTGTAACTCTATAAAACTCATGTAATTGGCCAGATACATGCTTACGTGTTTGTCCTATCTTTTCTATTACACTGGAATTTCATGAAAGTAGAGATAAAACAATCCGGCTTTAAAAATTTTACTTGGCACAGTTTTTCTTACGCTGATGGCTAATGATGCTGCGTGTATATTTTGTCTTCCTAATGAGCCTTCCAGGACCTGCCCAAATAGTAAGCAGTCAATACGAGCTAAACTGAATTAAGCCCATAAAACAAAAATCATTTCCCAGGAAGACTCTATAATGAAAATGAAATGGAAAAAATCATCCAGGCGGGCTTCTGAAGATTCAAATACCACCTGTAAAGACGAGAGGTACAGTGCTGAGCAGCCAGGGAGCTATTGTGAACTTAGACTTTCAAGTGCTGATTCAGGCATTGATAGGAGAGAAAACCAGTGACATTTCAGCGCTCTTGCATCCATAAGAAATGGTCTAGGAAGAACCACTGTGAGTTAAAAATTGCATTTGTTCCCTCTAATGTTAAGGAAATAAATTATCTACTGATTCAAAGAGTCCTGGTGACCTAAACGAAGAGTCAAAGTCTTTAAAAATCATGGGCTACTAAATTTAGAAACAACCCAAGTCCTTATCTTTCTTAGAATCCTTGAAATCACTTCAAAATGATTTTTGAAAAGGTCACTAAATTGCACTACTTACTATACATATTCAATTTAACCATTAGTCTAGTTTCTCATTTTTAAGACAGAAAGCAGACTTTTGAAGAAGAGTGAAATTTCATCCAGGGAATTAAAATTCCCCTCTGACTATACATTTCCTTCAAGCTCTTTGCATTCAAAACCACCGAGAAACAAAACAAAACAAAAACAAAAACTACATTTTCTCTCCTTTTCATTCTTGGAAACGAATCCTCCTAAAGAAATTCTCCGTTAAACCATGTCTGTATTATCACAAAATAAAGACAAAAGTCCACATAGTTTTCAACACAAATATGTACTTTTTTAGCTGATAATCACAGATTTTCTTTTTTTTTTTTTTAAGCCAGAAAAACCTTGGCAAGAATTCTAAGTCACTGTTCTCACTTTACAGATGAAAAAACCAAGCCCAGGAAGCCACAGTTTATTGGATGTGTTCTATCTGCTATGCACTGTGAGGTGGACAATTATTAAGAACGGGCTGGACTCATTCAAAGAAACAAGTACATATATGTTGTCTAATAAGCACCCAAACAGAGGTCTGCACTGACTCCCTGGAGCAGAGTGGAAGATGGCAGGAGCTGGAGAAGGCAGGCCCAGGAGGGGCCCTCAGCAGGGCCAGGTTTCATCTTCCTGACCTCCAAGGGTGGGTGGCTGAGCCTCCAGCCACCTCCTCCAGCAGAAGTTCAGCTGCCCCAGCTCTTGGCCCTGGAATCGCCTGTTTACTTGTTCGTCTCGCCTCAAGTCACTACCAGCAGCTAAGTGCAGGGGCTGCCTTTGAAAATCCATTCCTTGACCACGCACAATGTCAACATGGAGTAGGCTCTCAGTGAACTTCCACTGAAGGAACTGGATCTACCAATGACTTAAGGGTAGGGATGGGCAAGGAGAGCAGGACATCCCGAAGGACAGGGACTGGTTAAGTCTAAAAGTGGGAAAGTAGGAAAAGTTGTGGTGGGGGGAGGCAGATGTGGGCAGAAGGCAAGAAAAGGCAAGAGGCAGAAGTCAAGAGCTAGCTAAGGAGCACACGAGCATTATCGAAATGCTTTAGAGGAAGGTGAAACAAAAGAGAATTAAGCCCATGGACAATTTGTCAAGAGAGAAGAGTGTGCGTGCATCCTTAGTCAACGCTAAATAAACAGAGGTCATGAAATGATAGACGTACATAAGTGTAATAAGAGTCTTCGATTACTTAAATAATATTTTGTTCACATGTTTCCCATAAGAGCCGGTAAATAGTTTAACTGAGAAGAGCTGACTTGGCCTTAAAAATGACTTTCAAACTATGCACTTCTTTTGTGTCTGGAGTGAGGACATGACCTAAGAGTCTGCTGCTTGGCAAACATGAACGCACCCACATGTGAGGGGAGTGGACGAGCTGTGGGAAAGGAGGCTGCTGTGTAAACTCTCAAAGATATCAACAAACCAGTCCAGAGAGATGCCCCTATATTGAAGCCACAGGATCCACTCAACCAAGCTACCTTCCACAAGGGGAAAACATATTCTCTAAAGAAACTCCATTTGAGAAGGTGCAATAGTTTAGGCAGATTCAATTTTCATTTCTTCACAGGATTAAAAGGAAATAAATGACTACCACGGATTAACATAGCTGCAGACATGGCACTGAGTGTCTGTAGCCATCACAAATCCGCCACCAGCTACAGTATGGTCCTCTTTAGAGAAAGACAATGACACAGATTTGCTTAGCAAGAACAAGATGGTCTAACAGATTTTCAGTCGTGAGTCACTGAACGACAGGGATACGCTCTGAGACACACATCGTTAGGTGATCTTGCCATTGTGTGAACATCACAGAGTATACTTACACAAACCTAGATGGCACGGCCTACTGTACAGCTGGGCTATATGGTACCAATCTTATGGGACCACCATCATATACGTGGTCTGTCATTGACTGAAAGGTCATTATGTGGCGCATGACCGTATGATGGTAAATAAAGCTTTGATTTTTTAAAAAAGGAGATAACCTTAAAGACATTTAATTGAAAAATGCACAAAACCCACAAACCTTCAGCAGCACACCAGGAACTGGGTACGTTACAGGATGTCCCTTATTGTGCTACTGTAGCCCCACACCTGCGTTTGTGCCCTTTTCTCATGCTCTCCCCCATTTCTGCTGGCCCAATCCCCAGTAGGCCTTTCCTGACGCTCCCACATGGATAAATGCCTTTGCTCTTTTAAACGGCTTCTATCACGGCACACTCTTCGCCTTGTCATACAGTGATCCGGTACGTTCCACTACCGAGAACGAGCTGCTGGGAGCCAGGATCATCTCAGGCTCCCTTCTGAACTCCTAGCAGTGTTTACTCATGGAAGCATCAACAAGATTCACCGTGGTAAAGGAGAGGGGTCTGGGTCTTCCACAAATTGTCACAATACAGGGCATAGGGGTCTATGGGTACAGACTTCTCCCTGTTTTTTACTTTATTCTTCTGAGGTCATTTTGCAAATGGAAAATTTACCCAAATGTATATGGGGAAAAGGCTGGTTTTAGTCATTTCCCTACAGCCTTAAGAGACACACATAGAAAAGGATATAACGAAGACGTTTTAATTATCTTACAACAGACATTTCACACTTTTTTCTTTAATTAAACAGAAAAGTAGTACAAGGAGAATTATCTAACTTTCATGTTATTTTCTCATACTTTCAAGTCTGGCTTTCTTCTGAACAAGCTGACTGAAGCAGTGTGAGGCAGGAATGCAGAAATGCAGGCATGTAAGTGGGCACTTGGGTTGAAAAGAGAAGTCCCACCAAATCCTGTTTAGCAAGGCAACACCCAGGACAAAGACACAGGTGTTCAGCTCAAAGCTGTTTAAACTTCCACGGCAGACAGCACACAATGATCAATCGGGCTGGTATGAATCTCAACAAGGAAGCCTGAGTGACAAAAATCGGGCTTTATAGCCACATTTGCGCACGGCCTGGAGTGGCCTTCAGGCACTTCAAACAAAGACAGGGCCACGTACACTGGAGGCCTGGATGTTTCCTTCACATTTATAC